GTTTTGTTTTTGCTTTAGAAGAATAATGCTTGTGGTTTAATATGAACTTGACCATAAGAGATCTCGCACTGGTGTTTTCGGAAGGAGTTGAACTTGTCTCATGCAAACAAGATAGGCTGTGTTTTCTGCATTTGTTTACCAAAAGTAGAAGCCAACTCTACGCTTTTTATAGGTCACATGCCGACCAGAAAAGCGAATATACCGAAAAGCTAGGACCATTCAACCTACTGCTGATTTTCAAAGAAACGTCAGATTTTTTTCTTGTTGCTGTGTCATCAGGATCGTCTCCACTCAATAAGAGAAACCAGTGATCGCCAGTCGTAGTTTTGAGAGTGTTTCCAACCCTATTTGCAACGAAACTTCTTTTTCCTTTGAGTGTTTTACTCGTCTTCGGAGAAAAAAAATAGAGCTCAATTTAGTTCTTCTGAATTTTCTCAAGTAATTATAATTCATTGCAAACAAGGGGTGCGATAAAACTACTTTGTCATATCTTCATCTGGCCGAGACAGATTGCCACGCGAGAAACTTTCATTTCATTTCAACGCTATCAACATCCCGTTTCAGGCCGTGAATACGCTAAGTACTTCAAACATGTGATAGTGCTCGTACGGAGTCCGGAACTACGAAACCAAAGGGATCAAAAACAAATCTGATTACACTTTTTTGCATTAGAGAGCTTGTAAGCTCTCGGTATACACCACTAAGAAAAACAAAATTTTAATTAAAGTGGTCCCTTTTGAGATCGAGAAATTGTGAAGACTAATCCCCTAAGATTTCCCAAAAAGTGTTTTCTTCCAGTTTGCGGTGCGGTTATCGGGTTTTAGACAACATGTCGCTTAAAATTTGACTGATTCTCGATTTAATTCAAGCGCAATTTCGGGATTCTCAGAGGAGTCTAAGCAGTCGTCCATTAGACGTTTTCAAGAACTGCCAAAGCTGCGCCAGGGAAAATCGCCCGGATATCCGTTATAGGTCCTGGCAACGCATCAGTTAACCACATCGGCGAATCTCTTGCACCAAAGATAAGCTTTGTGTACTGATTCACAAAAACATTGGCTATGCGATCCTCTCTCCACAGAAAGAAAAGAGAAGGTTCGTCCTTGGCGCAACTTCACCCTGTAGGAACAATTTTCAATATCAGCCGTGACATTATATTGACAGTTACGAAAACAAAGGGGGAAACGAACACGATTTTGCAGCAGCTCGGGTCCTAGAAGCAAAATTTTGTTCAAAGATGAGCCAAGAATTTTAGCTGCTCCGTTAGGGATACGTCTCCCATTACCAAGCTTAATCGGATTCACTTCGGGATGGTGATGGAGACACTACTCGTGGTTACTGCGATGTGAAAGTTAACGCGGAAGAACGTTTATCACGTATCTATTGCTCAAAAACTTTTTAATAGTTTTGAGAATTGATCTCTGAGTTTTGAGGTTTTTTGCAAACGCTTTTTTGCGGATCAGTTTAGGTAAGAAGGTGCCGAATGTAAGTATCCGGAAGCGTGACAATCTCTTCTGCCCAGAGCATGCCTACGCCATATCTTTCATCGTCATGAATTGTTGATAATTCGAGTAATCCAGATGCTTTTTGTCAGCCGTGGAACGCGGGTTTTCCTGTTTAAAGGCACCATACGACTCTAGATCATATCAGGACGTTACTTGGGTGGCAAGTTTATTGTCTTCGATTCTACACTCAAAGCACGTGGTGAAACCAAAAGCTGTCGGCAGAGAACAGCCTAAAACCCAACCTAGGCGTCGGCATCGGATGTGTTGTTTAGGTCAGCCTTACTCACTCCTAAGCTACTCTTCTCTTCTGGCCTAATAACTGGACCGAGTCATGACCATTTATTCATTCTAGTTGGGCATATTTAGAATCAATTGGACGTTTCGGAGCAAACTAAGAACACTTGCTTTTCAAGGCGGAAATTCTGACTGTATCTGTACCACTTTTCTTTTCGTTTTTAACGGAGATAGCTATATCATGTTTACATTCGAGTTTGTCAAAATTCATTTAATCTTTCGTCGTTTTAACATTATCAGTTACCTTGTTACCATTGAGCGTCAGATCTAAAAACGCAATCTTAGAAAGTTGATTGTTCTATTTTGTAACCAAAATTGTTTTGATGCTGAAACACACTGCGTCAGACAGTCAACTTCATATGATTTTGATGACAGTTCAAGTCTAAGAATTGGCACTAAATCAAAAACCAGTTTCGACTGATTAATTAGAATGACACAATTTGCAAGTACTGGACCGAGGAGGGGGTGTCCGCCCTACTTGATTTGACGATCGCTAATCAGTTCCTAACAATTTTTTCCTTGGTTAATTTTTGGTTTTTTGAGTTGCTCTGTTAGCACATGTGTTTGCTATTTTTTCTCGTAACGCTAGCTGAGTTAGTGTGTGTTTTGTCGGGATCTCGATTGCGGCATACTCGGTTAACCCCATGAAAAGCTTTATAATAGGTGCTAGTGCAGTCTGCTTTGGAGCAGTTTTTAGCTCGGCGACACTCAGACAAGCAAAGTACGGCGTTTTTTCTGCTGAACGTTTTGCTCTCTAAGTCGGGGTTTTCTCCTTGAACACCGAGCACTTCAACAATGCGTGTGCGCCATTTACAGAGGATACATGCCGGAAATCAGTCTTTATCACAATTCTTTCAGTTGTACTCAAAAAATTTAACAGTTTTTTTTTAACTAAAATAGAACCTCTGTTTTTGTTTGTCCGTGCATGTACTCTTTTGCTTATGCTCCTCTGCTTTCTCTTTCTTTAACCAAGCTTTGAAATCTAGAAAAAACTGGTTTTAACCAATGAAATTTGACAATATACTTTGACCAAGATTCTCTAATCTGTGTTTCTACTTTTTCTTAGTTGTTTTGTATGATACGATAATATAAATTAATGTCTGACTCTTTCAGTTTACTGTAACTATTGTCGTTTTTTTCAGCCTTTCATTAACTTATTGAATTTATAATACTATATATCGACTAAGTATGTTCTTTAGTTGTAAAATTGCTATCCAGTGTTGGTTACGTTGGAAACGTAACCAATGAACTTTTATATTTGGGAAACAAGTTCGGATTAGCAGAACGCGACATGGAGTCCAGTAGCACCCTGAGTAAAAAATTTTTTAGCAGAAGTCAAGCGACCTGCTTTAAAAGGAGTCTACTGGTTACCCTTGACTAATTTGACTAACATAGCTTAGCAGCAGCACGTTTCGATTTCATTACGCTGTTTTTGTAAGGGTTTCAAATAATTTCTTCTTTTTGGTGAAAACTTTCAGGCCTGTTTTATGCTTTCATCAAGTCCAACAAGTTCTATAAGAAACTAGATGCGTTTTCCAAAAATTTGCATTTTTTGGAATCTAAAGTATTGAAAAATCAAAGTTTTTGACCAAAAATGTCAATTTGGACGTTTTTGCTGTTTTTTCTGTCTCGACAGAAAAAAATTGACGTTTCTGCCAACTTTTTTGTATGAAAATCAATATTTTCAATTTTTTGTCATTTTTTTTGGATTTTGGGGCTGCTAGCTTACAGCGAAGCTAAGTCTTGCTTGCTTACTTCAACAATTTGAGATAATGAATTTTAGGACACAAAAAAAAAACATGTTTTAACTGTTTTTCTATATTCAAAAGTTTGTGTAGATCCAGGGAGCACTAAGAAAGTGGTCGGCTGCGGGGTTTTTGTTTAGCTAATTTCGTGTCACGGTGTCGGCGGTTGAGTCTTTCTTTCTGGATTGCAGTAGATCGTTTTGGCTACTTTAGGTGTGCGTTGTAGGCAAAAAACGATTCTGTATCTGACGAATGATGTATTCCGGTAAATGCAGATTTTGTGGTAAATACGATCCCGAAAAAAAAATCATTTGCCGTAAATTTAAAGAACAATACTTGAAGTTTTAAAACGTACGTTTGTCTATTGACGAGTATCGTTTTTTTACATCATTGGCAAAACCTGGGTCAAAGTCAAACAGTGACAGAGTTTTCACAACATTGATTTTTAGTAATTTTTAAGAAACAAGAACTCAATTTATTGCTATTTATTCCAGTGAGAACATGTGGTTGAAAACAAAATTATTATAAAAAGTGGAAAAATGTTCTTTCAAAAGTTTTGTCGAACTATCATTAGATTTCAACTTATCTTTGAAAAACAGGCAAACAGGTGTGAGGTGGGTTGGGAAGAACCGACGTCAATCTCCACAAAATGAGCATTTATCGGCGCCTTTTGTAAAATTTTAAGGCTCTTTTCCAGTTCCCCCCTTTCAAAATATCGAGTTTTATGTTTGTTTTACGTGTTATTACGGCTAAATGCGTGATGTTACGCTGTAAAGTATGAAGAACAAATCTGTTCAGAGTTGTCGATTTGTTCACCACGCCAAATTTCAATGCATTATGACAACGTTAAAACGACTTTTCAAAATTGCATTTGAAGGGGGGGAACTGGAAAAGAGCCAATTTTAAGGCTGATGTTTTGTCAGTCAAAAACGGTTACCAAAGATTAGCACCAGAGAGGTAGGTTCGTATCCTAGATGTAACGAATTTTCAAAAAAAAAAGATATCGTCCTGTTGTTAGGTCGATCACACACATTTTCAGATCCCTCATGAAAAATCAAAAGATCTAATTTAACAAATATTTGGCTCTCTCTACCGGCTTTTCCGGTCACTTTGTAATTCTGTTTTCTGATATGATTTTCAAATTTTGGACTTTTTTTTTCAAATTGACAAATTATGCCAACTAACTAATTTTTCACGTGCTCCAGGATATAATTGAAATAATGCACGTAAAATTAAATAATTTACAAGATTAGGCCAAAAATTATCACAATTTGCACGCAATGGTTTGTTTGAGCATGTTTGTATTTGCAGCATATTCTGCTCTCCCGTAAAAGCTTTTAAAAGCTTCAATTAATTAAAAATTTGAAGCTTCAGTGCTAAAAATGACAATGACACTTTATACTTAAGCTAAGCTGGTTATCAATAATTGTTGTTTTTCATGCGTTGAATTCTTACCACCTCACAAAAATTTTCTTTGATTATTTTGTTGGCATCAATTTAAAAAATTTACGTCGCAGTTGATAACGCGAGAATTGTTTTTATGGTATTTTGATCTGAACAGTATTGAATCGACTTACTCATAAATTTTGTGCTGCAGCTTTTTCTACTGAAAAGTGACAAATGTCTGTCAGCGACAAATCCTTCTGGAAGGTAAGACAAAACCTGCTGAAAGATTTTGTATAAATCATTTTCATATAATGAATTATGCCTAGAGACACCTGTTATGACAATATGGTGATTTTAGAGAGGAAAAACGGCTCTTTTCCAGTTCCCCCTTTTCAAAATACCGAGTTTTATATTTGTTTTACGTTTTATTACGGCTGAATGCGTGATCTTACGCTGCAAAGTATGAAGAACAAATCTGTTCAGAATTGTCGATTTGTTCACCACGCTTAATTTCATTGCATTACGACAACGTTAAATAGACTTTTAAAAATTGAATTTGAAAGGGGGGAACTGGAAAAGAGCCGGAAAAACTGTACGCTCTATCACCTAACAGCCCAATCGCTCCCCAGGACTATTTAAAAACCTTTTTAAATTTCTCTCACCGTTTCCATCATCCCAACAAAAAATATTCCACTTAAACCATATCAATTTTAACAGGTTAAAAATGAAAATCACTTCTGTTCGTAAATGAGTAATTACCATGCATGCCAAATTTCGAAACAGTATACAAGCAATAATGAGATACATTTAACTTAGAAAGAAATCAAGGCTCTTTTTCCTCCCCCCGCTACCCTCCCCCCCCCCCCCCCCCCACCCACCCACACCACAGACGAGCTTCAATTTTGTAGTGTAACGAGTGGTTTTACGAGGTTGATTATGAAGACCAAATATGTTTGCCATGGCCTAATTAGTCTATATGTCAGTTTTCATAAAAATCGGACAATGTGGTCAACAAACTTACTTGTAAAAATTTGCAGGTGGGTGGGGGGAAGGAAAAAGAGCTGAAATCAGTTGTGGCGGTAAGGGCTTGAAAAAGTTATATCTCACCCACAGTTGAACTTTACATGTAAAACTACTGATTTGCTGTTACTACCCCCTTCGAAGTCGGGGTAAGAAACCATTCGGCTCTTTTTCCTTCCACCCCCTCCCCCATCAACCCTGCAAAAAAGTTTACAAATAAAAATGTGGTTCACATTATTCGATTGTTATAAAAATTGGCATATGGCCTAATTAGTCCTTGGCAAACAAATGTGATCTTCAAAATTAACCTTGTAAAACGTGTGGGGAGGGGGGGGGATGGGGGGTTGAGCCAAGCATTTAAATCATATATGAAAACTGAAAGCAAGAATTGCCGTTTGCTGTGCCTCTTTATGACCTTTATTAGAACCAAAAATTTCAAAGGCTCTTTTCCAGTTCCCCCCTTTCAAAATACCGAGTTTTTTATTTGTTTTACGTGGTTATTACGGGCTAAATGCGTGATACGCTGTAAAGTATGAAGAACAAATCTGTTCAGAATTATCGATTTGTTCACCACGCCATATTTCATTTGCATTGGTGACAACGTTAAATAGGCTTTTCAAAATTGAATTTGAAGGGGGGAAAAGCCGTTTTGAATTGTTGTTCTACTCTTCCTCAAGTTGAATCGCATTTTGTCCGCGGTTTGACAAGATAAAAGCAAAAATTTTCTTAGAATTTATTCAGCGTTTGAAATTATTCGGCAACAATGCTGAAGTTTATTCATCATTGTCAAGCCCCCCCCCCCCCACCTATAATTTGAATACTTTATGCCAGTTTAAATTGACTTTTGGGCTCTTTTTCATCTCCAACTTTAAGTAATCATCAATTTTATTGTTCAACGAGGGGTTTTACATTATTGGGTACAAGACTAATTTTGTTTTTCATTGCCTAATCAGTCCGCATGCCATTTTTTTTTGAAAAAATCGGATAATGTGAACAGAAAAATTATTAATGCTTAAACAAGGTAACTAGTTTTAACAACATTTTCTTCTTGCAATAACCCGTATGAACATTTTTCAAACAAGCTCAAATCGTAGTTGTGGTTGCAAATCTAGCAAGGTTAGCTAAGTGTTTGGGTGAAAAGTTGTCTTCGTCGTCCAAAATGTCTCTCTTTAACATAGTATTGCAGGGCTCTTTTTCTTTTTCCCCCCCCACATGCTATTTTTTACATAAAAATTTGTTGACAAGATTGTCCGATTGTTTTGAAAATTTATATACAGACTAATAAGGCCACGACAAACATATTTGGTCTTCATACTCAACCTCGTAAAACCACTCGTTACACTAATATATTGAAGCTCGTGTGAGGTGGGGGGGGGGGGGGGGGGGGAGAAAAAGAGCTATTGCAGTTCCAGTTGTGTCTCTTTTCTCGGCATAATACTTTTTTCTTTTTCTATTCATATCAAGCGTACAAGAGGATGACCCATTCTAAATTGCCCGACAAAGTGTGTTTGCTTATATTAAGCCATAAAAACTTCGGTGTTTTTTCCAGTGTGCTTCGAAAAGTGAACAAGATAACGATTGTTGGGTTACCGGTTTAAAACATTTTAGCATTTTATTAGAGCCAGTTCCGATGTTGGTTTTGGGTTAACTTGAGTCTTAATCCTTAACCGTTCCTTGATTGTTCTCATCGGTCGTTCAACCAAAAGTGATGCTCTATGATTATCCGCAGGACTAATTAGTGAATTTATACTGGCAAAACTCTCGTAATGGAAAAAACCCTGATTCTTGGTCTGTTCGAAAAGATTTTGGAACTTTGTGGAGGTAATTTTGATTGAACATTACAAATTTAGCTGAGGTACTTGATGTAATTCGAAGTGAGGGAATTTTAAAAACTCTTTTAATACACTAAGATTGTTTTTGTGCCCCACACAATTGGTGATAGTCCGGCGAAGTTGAAATTTTCCATTTTTTTCTGCTTTCAAACATTAGATGCAACTCTCGCCGTGTAATTATTTCTCGCGGTAATTTTTCCGCCACCATATAAATTGAATAGACAGGCTCTTCATTATTAATTTCTAACGTGGGGTTTGTGCATAGCGTTTTTCAAGCAAGTTCTCAAGCAGGCATTCTCCCATCAAAGTGAATGCATCATTGGAATACGTGCAGTTTATATAGTGAAATATTTGATAACTTCCGAATTGCAGGATGTTTCTTCACTCTTTCAAATCAATTCCAGGTCTTGTTTGATAAAAAGTGAAATTTTGTGTCGAAAAGTTCCGACCAAGAGAAGGGATTTTTTTTTGGTTTTCATTCGTTTTGAGCTTAATGTTATTTTTCTATCTAAAATGGACCTAGCAATGGTCGTTTCCGAGGAAATGAGAGCAGTTTCTACAGGAGGAGTATTCAAGTGTATCGGTTCGATCGATCAGACATTGTTTTAAATTTTTTAAAAGAAAAATCAGTTGTTCTTCAGGAAAAATTACACTCTTCTGCTCCACGTAAAAGTTTTGACATAGTAAAATTCATGAGCTTCAGAATTTTGGCAGTAAACTTTCAGAACGAAAGAAAATACCGATTTGGTTTACTGATGCAATAAAGAGACTTTTTCTTTGTCAATTGAAATTTTAAATTCGAGGTTTTCCTGGGAGCTGTCCCGTTGGGATTGTTGATTGGAAATTGTAGGATTCTGATCTATCACGTTCGTCTGGTTACTGGCTGATTTTCTATTATTTTTACGATTTCAGGTGATTTATCCGACCGCAGTTATTAAAATTTTGGTTCCTAGTGGGGCAAGATGTAAAGTGTCTTTCTTAAACGCATTGTTTTCTACCAGATTTAGTTTACGTTTACTCTTAATTAGATGCAAACGTTATCCATAGATACTTCCAATGTTTTTAAATCTTGGTGAATCTTTAAACCTTTTAAGCAGTTTCTGGGGTTAGGCACCTGGTGCATGAAGTCTTCTGAATTTCTAGATTTCTCATATTGATTATGATAAAAGGTCTATTGAGTTCGAATTCAAGTATCCCAATTTACGTTTCTTGGATGATTCTAATAATTTTTGTGGAATTTCTCTAAGGATTTCTGGTCTTTCTATCTTTGTCTAAAAATCTTGTACCAATCAATAGTTAAAATTGTTGTTATGTAAAAAGTAGAATTTGGGAAAAATTTTCGAGGATTCTCCCGCCTGAGTTTTTGTGTGCAACATTTTTTCCGATCTTCGTTCCTAGTGCTAAATACTATTGAGGCTTCAGCTTCTTATCAAATTCACATAACTTGAGTCCATTATGCTTTGCGTTATCTTCTTCTTTTGTCAGCCAGCTTCTTTGTTGTAGGCAAGTACCGCTTGTTTTACTTTTTTCTTCTCTCGCGCCTGGTTGGGCTTATATTTTGGTCGCTTCCATCGGTTTGGGTATCGGAACTATCAACTTCTCCCTCGCAGGATGATTAAAATTGTCCTCATTATCAACCAAAAGTTTCGCTATAATTAATAACTGTAATTTTTTGAGACTTCGTCTGAATCCTTATGATTGGGATTCGCCGAGTTGTTTCAATAAAATTCTCAGCCCTTTTTTTTATTTGTTCGACTACACAATGGTAAGAAAATTATAATAGATAAAGTCGTTAAGCAACGATACTAAGACGATGTAAGATTGGGTTTTAAAGTAGAATTAGTTCAAATGTTTAAAAAGTTAAAAGTAATGAAACTCCAAGATAAACAGTCTAGTGAAAATTTGTTGTAAGCAAGGTTGAAATAGGTCAATCAGAAAACGTTAAGCGGTGAATGGCAACTCAAGTCCCGATGGGTTTTGCTCTTCGGTTGGTATGAACTCTTTAAATATATTTTAAATCAAAACCACAGAGCCAAAAAAAGCTCATATGGGCATCATGAGCCTTTTTTGGCTCTGTGTTTTTGATTTAAAATATGTTGAAAGAATTCATACCAGCCGAAGAGCAAAATCTATCGGGACTTGAGTTGCCATTCATCGCTTAACGTTTTTTGATTAATCAATTTCAATTTTTTTAAAACAAAAAATACATACCGTAACAATCATCATTTTTTTATCAGCTTCTTGCTTTTTTTTTGCTGAAATCTGTTTAATCTCAGGTTTTTGATGATTTAGTTTCAAAAATTGATCGTTTTTTAGAATTCAACCTGATCAAATTGAAAAAGATCCGACAATGTTTTTTGAAAATCCGATTCGAGAAAATCCTAGATCTCAACTTGAGTTTTATTGTGAGAAATTTTTATTGAAACTCAAGAGAAGATCATGAAACTCAAGAGAAGATCATGAAATGTGGATATATAGGTCGAGCACTCGTTTATTGAAATTTAAAATCAAAATCCGAATTAAAGATTTTCTTAATAAGTCAACCGATCTTGCACAAACACAAGTTACCAAATCTCTCTTAGTGCGTTCCACATCATTTCCATAACCAGGATCCTCTCTTTGTTCTTCTTTTGTTCTTTCATTCTATTTGATCGTTCCAACAAGGTTACAGAAGAAAACTGCATAAAAAGCATTTTTGGCTCTTTCCACTTTCCTTCTGCATTTCTTATCTTCAAATTTTTCAGTTCTGTTACGTAAGAAGAACAATTGTGTTGACAACAGTTAGTTTACTCACCATTCTAAGTTTCATTAATTAAGGACAACGTAGGGTAGTTTTTTTAAAATTGAAAAATGAAAGATGGGGGATTGGCTACCTAACATCGTGGCAACTTTAAATTATGACACCGTTCAATATGTTTCAAGCAGATTAGATTGATGGCAAATTTGGTTACATGAGAGCAACTTCGGCATAAAAATGCTTCTTTTTCTATTTTTTCATTTATAGAAAAAAATGCTTATCATACAATTTTTGTATTTTCATTTATAGAAAAAAAATGCTTATCATACAATTTCAAAGACAAAAAATTGCTTTTACTTTTTTCGTAAAATCTTTGTAATAGAAAAAGAATGGCAAAAAACTTGTTAGTTCTTTCCAAAATTTGGCAAAAAATGTTTATCATGCCATTTTCATACCATTTTTCTGGTCCATGAATAAGTATGAAACAGAAATATAGGCTTTTTTTCATTGTATGAAATTGTCTGATAGACATTTTTATCAACCCGGGATTTTTAAAGACATGTCTCTGGATTCCAGAAACCTGCTCAAACCAAACTTTGCACATATCACAGTTTGGTCTGGCAAGGATTACAGAGTATTCAAACCGATCACTTTAGGTTCTGAGAAAGCGCCACGAATGTATGGAGGCTGTGATGAAGAACTCCTGCTCCAAACTGAAGAAGCTGTCAGAAGCAGGTCTGGACTTCAACTTCCAGGATCCAGTGACTGGAGGCAAGTATGAAACACTCATTGAGGATCTAAGATTGTCAGATCGTGGATTGGATCCCCCATTTCAAGTCAAAGCTGTGGAAATTTAGAAGGACAGCTTGGGCCAAATTATTTGCAGCTGCTTTATGTTTTAACCATTTGTATCTGGAATCCATGCGAGAAAAAAATCAAAAGAAGATTTGCATTTGGAGTACATTACCAAAACAGCCTTGAAATGGAATTCACGAAAAAGTGGAAATCGTTTTCTGAGACCCTAATTGGTAGATTCTGCAGTGTTTTTTATCGTAATCATGGTAATGATATAGCATCATGAGAGGATGAGCTTTTTTTGATAGCCTTTAAGGTTAGCTTAAGAAATCATTGAGCATTTTTTTAAGCAAATAAAGATTTTAAACTGCCAGATAGAAACCAACGGTGCTTCTCATGCCATTTGCTTAAAAATTTGGGAATAAAAAAACTGATGAAAAGTTCATAATTTTTTTCAAAGTGTAAAAAGAATGCTCATTATGAAATAAAATGAAATAGTATGAAATTGCATGATAAGCCTTTTTTTATCAACCCAGATAACCTTAAATCTTTTTGTATTTAGAAACACCCCTGACATGTACTATTGGACGTGCAGACTTTTCCCTTGCAACAGTGTATCTTCTTCTCAATTGCAGAGCTTCTCTTCTGCTGTCCAATCAGATGGGCCTCACACCTCTCCAGACAGCCATCATAACTCCCAACTTAGATGCCATTGAGGTAACAAGCATAGATGCCATTGAAAGTTAGATTAGATATAAAATATTTTTGTTATGGGTAATGGGCACAAGTATGATAGTTGGGTCCCTGGAACAAGCAAGTACAAGATTTGGGTCCTGCGATTTTCGAGAAAACTTCTTATACACATTTATAAAAATGTTCACCTGTTTCCGAAGATTTAAGCAGAAATTTTTTTCAGGGATCTATCAAAGTTTGAGGGACCCAACTATCCAACTTGTACCAAGTAAAGAAATAAACTTTCCTGGTCGAGGCGCTCGATGTTTGTTTCGACTTAATCGATCAAATTTTATTATATTTTGACTTTTTCTCCACCGAAGAAAAAAGTAGCTGAAATAACATGTGAGCATTACCAAGAATGTTCTATCGTTTCCAAATACGATTTGAGCAGTTGCTACGGCTTTTTTTTTCAAAAAAGGGCCAGAAAACTCTATTTTTTGAGTGGGCATCTTTTTATTCATCTTTATTTTTTAATACGATCGGAAAACTAACTCCGTGAAACTCATTTTTCAGCCCAACATTTTGCTTCTCTCTAAAAAATTCATCCCTGTCATGGAAAAATAAATCATCTAGTTTTTGTGAAATTAATTGATTTTTTTTTGAAGATGATAACGTTTTATGAGGCGACTGAATCTTCATCTGCTTTTGTGTCTAAAAGTAAATCGTTCGACCATACAGGTGTTGATTGACTTCGGCTGTGACTTGAATCGGAAGTTGCCCCAGAGTGGCCTGAGTGTCCTCATCTGGGCCATGAGGAACGAGGCCCAAGTGGGGGCCATACAGACTCTATTGTCCAATGGGGCCATAGTGGACATGTGTGACCCGCAGGGCTCATACCCAATATTCATTGTAAGTCCATAACAACTATGCCTACTTTTTGTATTTGAACTCTTAAATAGCAATATTAGAATTGCAATATGCTTTGATAAGAATGCAAATTTTAAGAATACAAAAAAGAAATTTCAGTAAATGAATTTATAAAAATTATAAAAACAGGTATGATTTTGTACTTTCTCAGACTGAACTAACTGCTGCTTGGAATGTAATTAAGCTGAAGTCACTCCCAACTCCATAGTAAAACTTTTAAGCTCACGTTTGATTATTTTTAAAAATGAACTCAAAAGTTTTTTTATAAAATAAAACGGTTGCTGTGCAAATAACTGAAAGTTTTCTGAGCACAGTTGCCATTTTAAAACATATTTTGGGAAAAAATATTCAAAAAATGGCTCTTTTTTCAAAAAAAATCACATAATCGGTTATCAAAAAAAAGATTTTTAAAAAATTAAATTTAAATTTAATATCTTTTAAGGCAGCAGAAACCGGACGACCCCTTCTAGTTGAACTGTTACTCTACTTCGGGGCCAACATCAACTCCCAAAATGAACAAACCGGCAACACCCCCCTGCACTTTGCAGCCTCACAGGGGGACTCGAGGATGGTGAGATTGTTGTTGTTGAGGGGGGCGGATAAGTCAGTTGTGAACAGACACGAACTGACGGCGGAGGAGATTGCTGAGAGAACTGGATTTGTGGAGACTGTCAAACTCATTTCGGAACACAGTCCGGACTCCATTTGTACGTTTTGTTTTCTAGCCAATTTTATAGGATTTTCTTGAGGTATATAAAAAAACAATGAATTGTTTCCAAATTATCAACTAAGCAAACTTTAATAGATTCAATAAACTTGGAACACACATGTCCATCATGATAAAAAATTGACCAGATCAATTATATGCAAATATGAATTTCTTAATTTCAAGATTTAGTTTTACGGCTTTTTTCCTGGACTTGTCCTTTTCTAATTGATCTTATTTGATGCTTTTTGGAGCAGCAATTGCCATCAATTGTTTATTTTAAAAAAAATCGAACAATGCAAAATAGAGTGAAATTGAATGACAAATCGGCTTTTCCAGAGTAATGGAGAGGCTAAATTGGCTTGGCACCTTCAAAGTATAGACTACTTAACTAAAAACTAAATTTAGCGTGGTCTTTTAGGTTCAATTCAAGCCGCAACAGTCGTTTCAGCAGAACAACAAAAGCAAAATCCACTAGGCTGGGGTTCGAACCGCCTGTCATCTGCAGTGTCAACTGAGAGTCTCAACATCACTCGACGACCATCCTCAACATCCTCTTTGTCCAGACATTCGGGTTCATCTGTATCGTTGGCTCAGTTGAAATTTGGTTCCAAAGGAGGATCAGTGAAAAACAAAATTCGGAAAATTACAGACAGGTCAGACTTTTTAGCATAATGTTTTCGAAATCAATTCCTGTTTCATAAAAACAGGTAATATTCCTGTTTGATAAAAACAGGCATTATGAAAATGTTATTGGGATCGGGTTTTTTGAGACGCTTTGGGAAAACTTTTGTTTTTCTCACAAAATAGCCTCCCATATCTGAGAATTTGGTTTCAATAGGTAGAACGGGTTGGAAAACTCTCATGCATAAGCGGTTGCGCCCAAATGTTTGACTCAAAAAATATGACCCTAAGAAAAAGTCGAATTTTCTACTGTTTTTAGAATCTTTTTGATTTTTCTCAAAAACTACTATCCCATTTCTGAGATATTGGTTTCAGTGTGAAGAACGGGTAGTTAGAAGCTCTCCTGTATAAGCGGTTACATCCAACTTTTTTCAACAAAAGTTATGACCCTCGGAAAAGTCAAATTTTTGAGTTTTTTTTACCGTTTTTATTATTTTTCTACTTCTCTCAAAAACTACCCATTCATCCAAATCTGATGAGAAATGTTTTAAGCATATTACAACCTAACAAGCTCTTCTGATTATTGCAATTTTTGAGAAAACTGAAGTAATTGACGAAATTAACAGATTTTGAAGTCTATAAATTAGGATTTACTTTTCTTTGCAATAGGTCTCTTTTTGAAATTACCCTTATCCTTCCGTATCAAAAAAAATCAAAAATTATCAAACAAGTACTTCCAGCTTTAGCTGGCTTCTAGAGAAAAAATTATTGGGATCGGGTTTTTTTATTAATTTTTTATTTTTGAGTCGCTTTGGAAAATTTTTTCTCTTTTTTCAAAAGTTTAGTTTTTTTTTCAAAAAGAACTCAAACGACTTTCAAAAAAGAGGTACCAATGCGAAATCTGCCTGCTCCCCTGTGTGTCTTCCGGTTATTTAAAATCTCTTTACCTTGCCCCACTTCTTACAGCCCTCGAAAAAGTATGTGTAGTGAATTTTTGAAGCAAGTTTTTGGGTTTCTTACAGTTTCTTACAAAAATTACCCTCCCAAATCTGAGATTTTAGTTTCATTGTGTGAAATGAGTTCCGAGAAGCTCTTCTGCATAAGCGGTTACGACCAAAAATTCTTACACAAAAAGTTATGACCCTCGGAAAAGTCACTGTTTCGAATTTTTGACCGTTTTTTGAAACTTTTTGACTTTTTTCAAAAACTACTCTCCCGAATCTGAGTAATTGGTTTGAATGTGAAAAACTCTCCTGCATAAGCGGTTACGCCAAAAGTTTTGATCCTCGGAAAAAGCAAGTTTTTGATGTTTTGACCGCTTTTTGAAACTTTTTGAATATTGTCAAAAATTACACTCCCGAATCTGAGTTATTGGTTGGAATGGGTAAAACGAAATGTGGGAAGCTCTCCTGCATCAGCAGTTACGCCGACGGTTTTGTGCACAAAAACGTCGGAAAAGTCAATGTTTTGATTCTTGTCCGTTTTTTTGAAACATTTTGACTTCTCGAAAACAACTCAATCTGACATCAAGGGTTTAATCAAGGCAAGAGGTTGTCAGAAGCCACCGTGCATAAGATGCTACGCTATAAGTTTGTACAAAAAATTGTTTCTGGGAAAAATTCCAAATCACAAAAATTTCATTCTTTTTTGAATAGAGGAGCAACTAAAGCCAATTCTTAAATTTTTTGAAATTACTTACTTCATCTCGCATCAGTGCACTAAATTCAAAAATTATCAAACAGGTACCTCCAGCTTTAGATGGGCCTCTTGTTTTCTAGGAAAACCTTATGAAATTGTGTTCGAATCTGGTTCCAAGTTTTCTGTTAACTCGACATTTTTCTGATCTTTTTTTTCTTGTAGACTAGAACTTCTAGACTGCAGTCCTTTTTTGGGTCTGCAACTACTTAAGGAGTGGGAATTCACGTCGGATTTCTTGATAACTCTAAGAAATTAAAGCTGGAAGGGAATGAAATAAAAGGTATGATACTGACATCCGTTGAGAGGTGGCTTGGAATAGGATTCCATTTTTCTGATAGGACTCAGGTTTGATCTCAGACTCACCCGGGTTGACCTCCATACACCGAAAATGCTTATCATACAATTCCATACCTCAAGTGTGTGGGAAAATGCTTGCCATACAATTTTCATACAATTTCTAAAAATGGTTGAAAACTGGTATAAACTCTTTTCTGTGGCTGTTTGATTCTAATAAAACAATCTGGTGATAAAAAACTGAGATTTTCGTTAAAATGCTTATCATACAATTCCCATATATGGAAATTGTATGACTGGCATTTTTTTGATGGCGACACAAAAAATGTTTCAAGTTATTTTGAAAATTTGGCCCAAAAATTTTTTTGTTTTTTTTCAACCGCAAATCGATTTTCGTACGCAAACAAACATTTTTCGAAAAAAAAATTTTGCATGCAAAATTTAATATTTTGTGTGCATAACGTAGTCCTGGATGCGATAAAATTGGCTTTTACTTTCTTTTCACTTAATTTTTTTTTCAAAAACGCTGAAAATTCCTTTTTCTTTTGTATGGGGTGTTGATGTACGCCTTGATCAATGTCTGATAATTTGAAAATTCCAAAATTTAATATAATCATCATTAATAAGTTTTGCCAAAAAATAAAAGTTTGTTACTTTTGTTATATCAATTGTGAAAGACAGCCAAATCAAGGTCGTTTTCTATGCATTGTAAATGCTAGACCGTCCAACCTTTGGTGTTTTGAGTAACCAAGGTCTATGTCACTTGTGTTCGGTTGCAACTACAACCAAAAATTTTGCAGAAACTAAATTTTGAAAGAAAAAAACAATATTTTTGGTTTATGGGAAAACACCTATCATACAATTTTCATATATGGAAAAATGCTTATCATAGAGTTTTCATACAATTTTCTGTACGTATGGAATTGTATGAAATTGTATGACAAGAAGTTTCTCATATATGGAAATTGTATGATAAGAAGTTTTGGTCAACCCGGGCATTTAGCGCAAAGGTTGATCGGTTACGGAGCAGTAAGTCGGCAACTGCATATTCGTACTCGACATTATGTAAAAAATACTCTCTTAGCCAATCAGAACAGAGATGAGAAAAAAATCGTGCACGAAACAAATGATAAATGTTTTTTTTGCGTACAGTTTGCTTTCTCATCTTGTTTCGGATTCGTTAACATTAAAAAAAAACAATTTGCCACCGCGGTTAACTAATAGAGAAACTTTCAAAATATTGTTAAATTGAGAGTATATAGGGTATAGAATTTTTTTTATCACTATGCAAAAAAAAGTGTTCACAGAATTTTCTGTGATTCAGGTATATCTTTCTGGTTGTACTATTGTTTTCTATGCTAGGCAAAAAAGGCGACAGGACATTAGTGCGACAAGATATTCAGACGGCAAAAGTGTATTAGAATTCAATATTAGCATTAATTGTTAAAATTTCCGTTTTGTATGTTTCAGAAATAATTTTTAAAACAATCATTTTGCTTTTTGTATTTCTCAGAAATGCATGTCGCATTTTCATAAAACAATTATTTCGCGTTGTCAATTTCTCAGAAATGCACTTTGTTGTCTAAAAATCCTATCAAAAACTGATGTCGCCGTAATGGCTGTCGCCTTCTTTGGCTGTCACAAATTTCCATTCGCATAAGAATACGCATGTGACTTTATTGCTAATGCGTTCATATAGGTTTGTATTTGATACTTTGTAATGTTAATAGACAAACAGCAGTCTAGAATTAAAACAACACGGCGGCCATGGTGCAATTTTTAGAAAAGTTATTTAAAAATTATTGAAAACGTTTCCGCGCAACTGCACATTATTAACCATTTGTTGCAAAAACTAATACTTCAAAGTGATATCGGAAAAAAAACTTCAATTATAACTGCTGGTATATTTGAAAACCGTTTTATTTAGTATGGAGAGAGATTTTTGAATTGTACTTCCATTTTTTTATGTCATTACTCGTGAAAAGAAAATTTTAATAAGATGACGTTAATTCTGGACCAAAAATTTGCAAAGGTATGACATTTAACGATGTTTCAAATATACAGTGAACGAATTTTGACCGTTTTCTTTGATCCCCAGCCCAGCACGCAAAATCATCAGTTGATTGATATATTTTGTGTTTAAAAAATGATAAGAGAAACATCCCTGTCATAAATGCAATGTGGATTGATTTGAGCCAGAATAATTAGCAACTGCGCTTAAGGTACTCGAGCAGCCCGAACTGAAGTTGCACGAATAATAATCAATTGTATTATATTTTCGTTGTCAGTTTCTATAAAAATCAATTAGAATAGACATAAAATGGATTATAATCATTTTTTTGTCAAGGGAATTAAATTCTTCTTAATCAATTTGAATTTATTATGATGGATTATGACGAAATTTTTCTAAAACTTGATTAAAAATTTTAAACAGAGTGCAGTTACTTACAACTTGGCAGTTATTTTTTTGGTCAAAAATGAGATGCATTTGAGATGACGAGATGGAGAGGTTTGATGTTAACTGAGTTGAACATGTTGTTCACTTATGCAGAAATCTCCAAAAAGTAGTGTAAAGATTTCTTTTCCACAAAAAATTGATTTTGATGAATGTTTTAAATAAAAAAACTGATTGCATCGAAAACCAAAACGGAATATAATTGGATATGAAGCGTTATAATGGATTTTATAAGACTGAAACCAATCAATCAATTATCTTTAAAAATTTTGGACTCAATTTTAAATGGGTCATGAAAATCGATTACATTTTTAAAGCTTTTTGCCAATATATTCCATTAAACTCTTTTATTTTCCATGAAGCTCTAGTGCGGGTACCGGGTTGATCTCATGGTGAAAGTCACTATTATCAAGAGCTGTTACAATAAAATATCTGTGTTGTATCAGACTCTGACCATATAGCTTTGACAAAGCATAAAGAAAAATCAAAGAAAATACAGAAAATAGTATTGTTCCGACTTTCGATACAAAAGTAACCGAATATTTGTGCTAGGGGTAGGTTTTTTTTCTTCAGACCAATTTTGAC